AACCACAACCACAAACACACAACCACCAACACGACCACAAACACACACCCACAAACACAACGACAAACACACAACCACGATCGCAACCACAAACACACAAGCACCAACACGACCACAAACACACAACCACAAACACAACCACAAACACGCAACCACAAACACACTACAAACACACAACCACCAACACACCACCACAAACGCACAACCACAAACACAACCACAAACACACAACGAAAAAACACACAACCACAAATACAGAACAACACAACCGCAAACACACAACCACCAACACGACCACAAACACACACCCACCAACACAGCGACAAGCACACAACCACGATCACAACCACAAACACACAACCACCAACACGACCACAAACACAAAACATCACACAACCACAAACACAACCACAAACACACAACCACAAACACGCAACCACCAACACGACCACAAACACACAACCACAAACACGCAACCACTACTACTCTACTACTACTGCTCGGGCCCCGGAAGCTTCCCAGGTTCGGGCCCCGAAGCTCGGGCCCCGAACTGTGTCCAACAGCAACCACTACTACCACTACCACTACTACTCCTACGACGACGACGACGACGACGACGACGACGAGGACGACGACGAGGACGAGGACGAGGACGAGGACGACGACGACGACGACTACCCTAAGGATCCGAGAATCTACTTTTCATGGCTGCCAGCCACTTTCCAAGGTTCTGGCCCCCTAGAAGCCAATGCTGGAAGATAAGATTTGTGGCTGGCAGCTAGGATTCATGGCTGGCAGCCACAAATCTTATCTTCTCAAAACTGGCTGGCAGCCATGAAAAGTAGATTCTACTTCTAAATGTGGCTTCTGCCCAAACTCATGTTACCACCTCCAAGAAGCGCTTCTGGGAAGCCACTTTTTGTGGCTTCCCAGAAGCGCTTCTTGGAAACAAGATATTTGATATGTTGCAGCTGTTTGGCTTTAAGCAAGCTAGGTATAGATGTCAGGAGAAGCAACGCTGCCCATCCCCCAGCCTGCAATAAAGGCAGATATCAGCAAGCTGGTGGCCTTTGCAAAAGGCTTCCCTGACTCTTGCAATGCAAACCTGTGGCCAGCTGACCCTGAAGAAGCCTGCACAAGGCATGCATTGTTTTTGGGTGTGTGGTTCAAGCATGGGGCTTTGAGCAAGCCTGTGGAAAGGCAAGCAATGAAAGAAGCCAACCATAAATTGACCACATCAGAATGCAAGTTGATCGTGAACCAAATTCATGAATGCAAAAACTTTCTGAGAAGAAAATGGAAAAATCTCAAGACTGGAGAAAAAACCTCTGGTCTATTGATGGGTTTGATGCAAAGTCTGTTTGGCACTCCACAGCCTGCAGAAAGGCCAGTGAGAAGGCTTAACCAGAAGACACCAAAAAAGAAAGCCCTTCAGCCTGCAGAAGAGAAGCCTGAGCAAGGCCCAGCACCTATCACTTTTTTAGAATCCCCAGCTGCCATTCTACCATCAGACCAAGAGGTGGTGGAAATCGAAAGTACAGCTGCAAGCACAGCAGTGTCACAACAAGATCTGGAGCCTGCAAAAAGGCCATCATGCAAAAAAGCGCCAAAGAAAGTGCCAGCCTGCAAAAGGCCAAGTGCAGCAAGCAAAGCCAAGGCATGTTGGAAGAAGAGCCTTTCCTTTGGGTTTGTTAAGGAAACCAAAGCTTCAAACAAGGCTTACATTGTGTCCAAGCCTGAAGAAGGCAGCAAGCCAACTTGCCTGGTGAATGTGCAATTGCCTAGGGGTCCTGACCAAGACAGAGTCATGTCTGCACTTATGGCTAAAGCCTGCGAAGAGGCAAGCCTGGAGAAAAAAGCAGCTGGTCTCATACAAAGATCAGCTGCTGAAGGACTCGCCAGCACAGCCTGCATAAAGGCACCCCTTGGTGAGGATCAAGGGACAGACAGCACAAAGGCCACTGGGGAGAAGCCTGAGCAAGGCACCATTGGCTTGCACAGCCTGCATGAAGGCCAGCTTTAGATTCCAGCCTGCACAAAGGCCCTTACTGTACAGTTCAGCACTTGCTCGCTGTGGTTTTTGAAAAAAGAGCCTATGTAGGGTAGGGCACAGCCATGTTTAAAAGAACTGTTTTGTGTTTTGGGGGGCCACTGTTTAAAAGGGGGTTCATGAACCGATGGCTCAAGAAGCATGCACAAATCCCATGGACATGTGCACAGCAACACACAGCAACACACCACATACATACACTCTACCATGACAAACCGAGACAGCTCCATGCCACACACACACTCCACACCAATGACACACTTTGAAGCACCATGCATGCCTGTGCAACATGCATGTTTTGTGTATCATGTCGATGAAAAACACACAAACCCACAGAGACATATCTTCATGCAGCCATATTTTTGTAACACTTCATGCTTCAAACTTCAGGTGCCCACACTTTCAACTTTCACAGACTCACACATGACATTTGCAAATCACATGTATACACACTTCCATTTCATACACACTTCACAGCTCATAGATTTACACACAGCTTATATAGGGCACAACCAGGGTAGGACAGATTGCTTTGGCCATGGCTTTCTTGTTCCACCTGCCCAGCCTGAACAAGGCCTTGCTCTTGATTGTGGTGTTGAGCCTGCAGAAGGCAACTCTCCTGGAAGGGGTCCAAGGCAGCTTTCCCTGGTGGAGGGTGAGGCTGTTCAGGGGCACTAGGTGGTTGTGGGATGTGGATTCCCAAGCCTGGACAAGGCTCACCAATGACCAAGAGCAAGAACTGGATTGCCTGGAGTTCGATGAGCCTGAAGTAGGCCAATTTATACAGCACCAATCCCAACAGTGTGGATACACTGGGGATTGGTCAGTTGATGCTGCCCCACCTGTCTGGGATAGGTGGGCTGAAGGTTGGGTAAGGCATCAGCCTGGACAAGGCTCTGGTCACCAAGAGCCTGAACAAGGCAGATCTTCTTCTTGGAGGTCCCATGACCAGCCTGAACAAGGCACATCTTCTTCTTGGAGGTCCCATGGCCAGCCTGAACAAGGCACATCTTCTTCTTGGAGGTCCCATGGGCAGGCTGAGCAAGGCAGATCTTCTAGTTGGTGGTGCAATGAGCCTGAACAAGGCAGATCTTCTTCTTGGAGGTCAAGTCCAGAGCCTGAGCAAAGGCAGCCAAGGTACTCAAAGGTTGAGCCTGGAAAGGCCCAGTGGCAATACTGGGATGATTGGTCATCAGAGGATGAATCTTCCCATTGGGATGATGACCAATGGGAAGATTGGAGGGGCTATGCTGATTGGCAAGATTGGAATGAAAGCCCGTATGAGGGCAACCCTAGGTGGCTGAGCAGGGGCCCAGTGTCAGCCAAAAGAAGGTTTGAAAGGAGAAGGCTGATTCAAAGGGGTGAGCCTGTACCAAGGCATTTGGAGCCTTATGATTGGGTTGCCAATTGTGAGAACAAAGAAATGAAAAGAGAAATTCACAGGTGGCAGCAGCAAGCCATGGCGATGGAAAGGCAGGAGAGGGCAAGAAGAGGCCTTGCGCCTGGACCAAGGCAGTGCAGGGCAAGAAGCAAAAGCCAGCGCAGACCAAAACCTCCAGAACCTCCTAAACCAAGGAGGGCTCAGCCTGCACAAGGCACACCAGCCCAGCCTGAACAAGGCCAATTCCAGCCAACAGCTACAAAAGAAGAGACAGTTCCAGAAGGCAAAAAGCCCAAGCCCAATGCAGAAAGTGCACCAAAGCCTGCAGATGCTGAGCAGGCAGTGGAGCCTGAGCCTGCAGGAGGGCAGAATGAGCAGCCTGCACAAGGCCAGAATGAGCAGCCCAAAAAAGGAGATGATGCTGCTCATGATGGTGCTGATGATGGAGGCATTGAGGATTTCTGAGTGAGCACTGCACAGCTCAAGCCTGAACAAAGGCCAGCACACCCCATACCTAAAGCCTGAACCAAGGCCAATTCCACCACTTGTCAGCTCAAGCCTGAACAAAGGCCAGCACACAAGCCTGAACAAAGGCCAATTCCACCACTTGTCAGCTCAAGCCTGAACAAGGCCAGCACACCCCATAGCTGAAGCCTGAACAAAGGCCAACTCCACCACTGGTCAGCTCAAGCCTGAACAAAGGCCATTCAAAACCACAGCTGTCTTCTTAGCCTGGATAAAGGCTTGTACAGAAATGGAGCTTTGGCAGCCCTGCAAAAAAGCTCTTTGGGTGGGGAGTGGGGTTTTGTGGTTGGTTGTTGCTGGTGGTGGTGGTGGCTGTTGGATTAGGGGAAGCCTGGAACAGGTATACTAC